TTCCCGTCAATTTCATGTGCTCAAATTCATACTTTTCAATTTGCACCCTAAATTTCAATAATGACAGTTTGTGTCCCTTGAAACATATATATTTGCATCACAGGGTTTTTAATTTTATAGATTCAGCCCCTCTTTTGGAAAATTATCACAAACCCTCAAACACTCAACTCCTATTAAGTATTATTTTCCGTATTTTTATACATTTGATTATTTAAGATATCTCTCATTTTTACAATAAACTAATTACATTAAATAATAAAAATACAGAAATATTAACATACCGAAAATATAGGATGTTATGTTATTGGAAAATTTTGGATCTCATAAAAGATTAAACTATAAAAATACATATTGTAAGTGTGTTATATGTTATAATTCTTGAACATAAACCAACATAAATTAAGACTTTTGTCTCTATGATTAAAATAAAATAAAAAAAGTTAAAATGTTGTAAATCACTTACTACTTTTAATAATCAAAAAACATAAAAATAAGTTTTCGGTTCTAACTTGTTACAAATGCAATCTTTCCTATTAGCTTAACAAAGAAGTCCAAAAAAATTGTATGAAGTGAAACAACAACCATAAGTTCACATTTCTAGTGTCATATCCAAATCTTAATGAAATTTGAAACTACTTACAAAATTCCACTACATAACAATACATAACAATGACATATTGTGATAAACTGACATATATGAATAATAAAAGAGGAAATAAGTAAAATTAAATTCACATAAACATAAAACATTGCACAATCTAGATGATTAAACCTAATCTAATAATTAAACACTAGATAATCTATAAAAATCAAAATAAAAATGTAAAAAAATCTAATTGAATTTTCAGGCAACCTTTAAGAACAAAAAAAATTGAGTTATTTTTGTTGGAACCTACTATTCGACGACGTTCCGTCATTGCTTTGCTTCCATTGGACAACATTGATGAGTCGATTTCCAACTTTTTTATCCCCCCATTTTGGTGTCATTCACACCTTCTTTTTTATTTTAAACTTTCGATGATTTCCTTCTTTGTTTATATTTAAACACGCACATGATGAATTTTGTGCTTAGGAAATAGGAAAAATGTTTTCTATCAGTTGCTATTGTTGGGTTTTCTATGCAACTATACACTAGAATAAGAAAACGAAAGCATTCAAAAATCATCCTAAGTGAACATGCACCCTAGGATCTAAGTTTTACTATTATAGCAACGTACTTTTAAAACTAATGCTAAAAGCTAAATGAGAAAGGATTATAGCACTAACCTCTTGAAAAATCTGATTTTTCTCTAGTACCTTTGATCTCTTATTGCTCTTAGAAAAACTAGCACCCAAAGTAGAGTCCCTCTAATGGATCACACCTAAAAGACAAGAACCCTAGAAACTCTAGAAGAGAGATATGAGAGAGGTTTGGAATCATTTTTTGCAGCCTTCCACGAGGTAGGTATGGACCAAATTATGAGCACCCAAAGGGTGCTATATATAGTTGTGGTGGTAACAGGATAACCCTAATTTGAATCAATTAAATATTAAGATTTAATCCACATTCAAATGGTTTCTTTATCTGTTACTAGGATTAATTCTGGAAGCCTCCTAAGAGCCTCCAAAATCGTCCACCTATATGGATTTCAAAATGTTCTCATTGTTCAACTATTGAACAATTTCAGTCCCTATACCTTTAGATTAATTCCAGTTAATCCTAAGTTAATTCTAAATAAATTCTAATTAATTTCAACTAGTTTCTAATTAATTTATTAACATGTAATAAATTATTAAATCATTTTCTCAATCTCCTAAAATCATTTCCAGCTATTCTTGCTCTTAAGGGCAACCCAAAAAGATTTTACCATTATTCTCAAAGTTACACCATTTTTTTATGATATTGGACACGTATTTCCATCAGCTATTACATAAGGTCGAAACGTTTAGGGGCCCTTCGAAGGATGGCCTCTTGGCGGTCGCCCACGTTGCCCATTGTTTGGGATGACCCTACAAACGATTTAAAGTCATATTTTGCATCAAAGACTAAATCTTTGCATACTTATTTAATGGAGCCCAATAAATTCCTCCCCTTAACTTGAAATTCTAATTGAGCATCCATTTAAATTCGATTATGCTTGTACCCCAAGTAGACCTAGCTGCTTAAAAAACATTCTAGCTTCATGGGTTTCATCATCACGTTTGTAGTGTGTGTGTGTGTGTGTATGTGTGTCTATATATATATATATATATATATATATATATATATATATATATATATATATATATATATATTATATATATATATATATATATATCTTACGTCAATATATATTGTCCTTCTATGTATTACTAGATTTTTTAGGGTTTAATGGATGCTTAAAACTCTTATGTTCCAAAAGTCACTTCACCAAAACACAATGGCATGCATATGAAGTTGCATCCAGGGGCGGATCCACAATAGATCCCGGGGTATCCCTAGATTCCCCTAAAAAAAATCAGTACTGCAATTTTTTTAGAAAAATTTTGGTTTATGTAGTGTATATATAAATAATATTATTATGTTTAGCGAGATAATAACACAAGTTGTAGTTAGTTCAGATCGTTAAGGCGTTAGGGGGTGTTTCTCGAGGTTGCAAGTTCAAATCTTCTTTCAAACATTTATTTTCTTTTATTTTTGCATCTCCTTTTATATAGCTTTATACGGATTTTATACCTATTATATTATGATGTTGTGAAAATCAACACAAGTACCGATTTGTCCAAGTGGTAAAGCACTATACTTTTAACTTTGAGGTCCTTGTTTTGAATCTTAACCCTTACATAGGTGTACTTTATTTTGTTTATCAATTTTTCAACCTGTTTCTTAAAATTCTAAAATTGTCCCACATCGCCATAACATGAAACATAACTCCTATATATTTGTTATATAAGCAATACAAGCTTCTCAATTCTCAACAAGTTAAACTTTTGAATGAGTTTGGGTTTAAACCTAAAACTGAGTTTGGAAAACCGAGAAACCGAACCCATCGGTTTGGGACACCCCTTTACTTTGACTCTGGCTCCGCCACTGGTTGCAACCACGTATTCCACTTCGGTCGAGGATAAAGCTACAATATCATTTTTCTTGAACTCTAATACATTGTTTCTTCGCTCAAATGAAATATATATATCCTGAGGTGCTCTTCCTATCTCCAATATCTCTGATATAATCGATATCGGTATATACGATTTGCTTTTAATAGGAATTTCTATTGTATAAGAGATCAAGATCAAATATGCCCTTTAAATACTTCAATATTCTTGGTTTAGCCATGAAACGGTAAATCAACCATACAAAAAACATCATGTTGGGTTATGTGGTTGTCAAATACATTAGACTGCCCACTAATTTCTTGTGTAAAGTAGTGTCTACTTCTTTTCCTACTCCTTTATTTGCTAGTATAGTTCTATGCACTATGTCATTATGGGATTCTTGACAAGATTAAAGTTTCCCATTTTAAACCATTCAAACACCTCCTTGGCATATTTATTTTGACGTAAACCCACGTATATACCCAAATACTTAATTTAATGAAATTTAATATACTTAAAAATTGAAAAACATTATATTTCAATTATATTATAACTAAATTACTAAAAATACTCATTTGCAATACCTCCCATATTACAACATGAATTTTTCTGTTTCATATTTTGCATAAAACGCTTAGCAAAACCTTATGATTGTATATTCCTAATCGATTGTTAAACGATATATTTCATTTCCTACAATCGATTTAGGAGACATGCGATTATTCACTTCTAAACAATTTTTTTTTCATCTAGTTCTTCAATTACAAGTAAAATCACGAAAATTTTATTTTCAATGTGAGTGTCAATATTTTGTAAGGATTCACAAGGTAAATAGGTCTAGAATATCAATGTAGGAGAAGTATAATTAATATTGTCATGTTACAAATTAATTGTTTTTATAAAAAGTAATTTAAATATATTGTTTTTTCAATATGTTAAGTATTGTTAAATTAAGTATTTGGGTATATATGTGAGTTTATAGGTTTTATAAGGATATACATGTAATTTGAAGTTTTACAAAGTTTATAAGGTTATAGATTAAATTCTCTTTTATATTATTATTATAATACAATTAGTTAAAAAGGAAAAAGTTATTTTCTTTTTGTTAAATCCACGTGGACACTACTTGGAGGAAGGTGGATTAATATTTGACCACCTGACATGTAACATAGATCGATTACGTATTTAACCTCTTGTAGTATGTAGTAGTTGAAAGATGGTGACAAATTAGAGACTAAGGTTTAATGTGACTTATTTTGATGTTACCAAATGGTAACAAAATTAACACTTTCACTGTTAATTTTATGAATAACTCTTTATTAGTTATAGAAAAATTAAATATTCATATATATTTTGTTCTTATATATCTTCCTACATATATAAATTCATGACATATGGAATCCATTAATTATCTTTCTTGATTTTGACATTTGTTTTGATCAAATATGAAAATGGATAAAATAAAAATAAGAACATATTTGATTTCTCAAAATACATATCTAAATATTTAACCAAAAAATAAAAAAAATAAAAAAATTTAAAGGTATATAGAAACAAAAGGAGACGTAATGCAGAAGAGGTTAATGTCGAAATGACAATTTTAATGTTGTCTTTAGCAATTCGTGTCAATGTACACAAACGGTGGCACTAGACTCCATGATAGTATTCCAAAAACACTTGACTCAATGAACATCCATCACAACAATGGGGCTAGGGAAGTAATTCAATACATATTTATTGCATGCTCATTGCAATACACGTGACGCATGGTATGCACCCAAACCGACACTTGTCTCTCCTCATATTCACCTATAAAACCAACTGCACATCATTTACTCGTCACCTTTCGGGTGTCGATTTCTAGCATCCTCTTGCTAGATCTCCTTTTTTATATATATTTTTAAGAACTCCTCGTCACCGTTGTTTCACTTTAAGAACACTCAACAATGAAGCATACAACCAATTCATTGCTTCTCATGTATACAGAGTTCCTCGTTTTTCTCCTTTTATTTTCCACCACACTACTCATTGCCTCTTCTCAAACCATCGTCGAAACCTTACCTGGATACCCTGGTCCTCTCCCTTTCAAACTAGAAACTGGGTCTCTCTCTCTCTCTCTCTCTCTCTCTATTTCTCTCTCTCTCTCTCAATTAGTGGTGATTGTGAATTTGTGATTGTGGAAATTGGAATGAACAGGTATATCGGAGTAGGAGAAGATGAAGCTGTTCAGCTATTTTATTGTTTTGTTGAGTCAGAAGGAAACCCCGAGGAGGATCCCCTGATTGTTTGGCTCGCCGGAGGGCCTGGTTGTGCCACTCTCCGTTCCTTCTTCTTCCAAATCGGTATGTAAATATATATCTCTAGCCACAATGCAAAGATGTCCATTGGCATTGGAAAACGAAATTGAAGGTCACGGAAGTATTTTATTATATTATTTTTAATTGAACAATGAATACAAATCACATCTTTAAAGTAAGAGCTAATAACTAAAATAACCGAGATATGTAAATGTAAAACATAAAAATAACCATATATTTTCTGAAATGGATTTTACAAAAGATCTGTTCGTTATTAAAATGGTTTACCAGTACTTTCCAATAAAAAAAATCTCAAATGTTGCTCTCCAGAACCTACTACATAGGAAAATAGTTTGTCAAACTCCAAATCGAGACCGTCAAGATCATCTCTAACCTTGACTATGTTGCTCCATATGTCTGGGAGAGTTTTCTTTGCATACATCCCCATAGGTTTGCGGTTTAGATTTTTGAGGTTATCAATGGACCTTTGACTTATAAAAACTAATCTTTAAGCCCGAGGATGCTTTGAAACATCTAACTATTCAGGCCAAAATTTTGAGGTTATCAATGGACCATTCTCTTAGAAAATTTGCATCATCGGCATAGAAAAGATGTGATATTGAAGGGATCATAAGCTATTTTTATAGTGATGTTAGAGACCTTCCATTGCAATGATGAATAGGAATCGAGAAAGCAATCGAGAAAGCAGGTTTCCTTGTCTTACACCTTTGGTGATTGGGAATTCTTTAGTCGGAGAGCCATTGATCAACACGGAGGCATAGCATAGGAAGATGAAAGTCTACCCTTGATCCAGTTTCTCCACTTGACTCCAAATCTCATTTGACACATGACTGAGTCAAGAAACACCCAGTTGATGGAGTCAAATGCTTTGTCAAAATCGATTTTGAACAAAATCATTTTCCTATTTTCTTTCTCCACCCTTGAGCACACCTCATTCACTATTGTACCTCATCTATGTCTCTGATAACCTTCTTAATTCTCAAGGCGACAGCTTTTGCAATAATCTTGTACATACATCCAATCAAGCTAATAGGTTGGAAGTGGTTCAATGTGATGGGATCCTTGACTTTGGTTATGATTGTGATGAAAGAGGAGTTGAAACCTTTTGATAGTTTTCCATTTTCTTCAAAGTGCTTAACAAAACGCATAATATCAACCTGCAACAAATTCCAAAACTTTTTTAAAAATTTGATTGTGAAACCATCCGTGCCCGGTGCTTTTTCACTTCTATAATTACAAATCGTCTCCTTTTTCTCCTCCATACTAAATGGTTTCTCAAAAAAACTACAATCTTCAAGGTTCGGTTTCTTAAATTTTGCATTTATGAATTTAGGTCTAATCGAACAAGTCTTATTGAATTTAGACCCAAAAAATTCCATATCTCGGATTTAATGGCCTCTGATTCAGTGTTCCAAACCCCGTTGATCATTAACCCATGAATTTTGTTCCTCTTGTTCCTATTTTTTTATTGTTTCATGAAAAAAGCTAGAGTTTTCGTCCCCATCTACTAGCCATTTGATTTGTGCCTTCTGTTTTAGATCAAGCCTTGTTGTATTTTCATTCTCCATTATTTTATGTTTTCGTTCTCTTCTATCTGCTTTTTATGAGTCTTCAAGAGATCTGTATTCGGCATTCTGTCATACTCCTCTAACTTTTGTTTATTATCCAAAAGTTCATTTATCTCCTTTTCAAATTCCACTTTTCTCCACTCCTTGATTGCCTTCTTTAAAGCCCTTAGTTTCCCTACAAGATAGACATCAGGAGCTCCCCATCCACTAAAACAGTCAAAGGTACTTTGTTAGAATTTTGGGTCTTAAGAATATCAATTTACTTGGATATTTCTTGGATCGTGATAGCAATCACTTTTCAAAATCTGTGATTTCGACCCTATAGTCTGGGGTATCATGAAATCAGATTTGGGATACTCCAAAGAATTTCAATTTAGAAGTTAAGCCACTTCTAAATTAGAACCATAGAAAAGTACCTTGTTGTTTTGTGTTCTTGAGAGATAGAACAAATCAATGTATGGTTTTCGTGTATATAAGTTTCAACCCGTATTCTGGAACCAGAAAACGTTCTTATACAAGAGGGAAAGTAGTTAAACGGAAGTTACATGCTTTTGGCGCCAAAAATGTTAGTTATTAAAGCATAACCAACTTATGACATCATCATGATATCACCAAAATTGTTGGTTATTAAGAAATAACCACCGCCAGGGGCTCTACCCTTGGACCCCGCTAGGCGCGCTGCCTCAAGACCCCGCCAAGGGAGCAGCCCCTTGGAACCCTGCCTCTAGGGCCCTCGAACCACTGTATTTCTGAATTCACATTTATCACTCCGAATGTGCAACCTACTCCTCCAATCTCGTTTAGTAAATGGAGCTCATCGTATCTCATTATTAACAATAATTACACCAAAATATGTTGATAACACTGAAACCACCAACATACTTTTGACAATAGCCTTGATTCCATCTCTAAAGAGCCAGGAGTTTAAAAGTGAAACGGTCGATAACCAAAATCGATGACATTAGTTCTCAGGATTACCGGGGAGTGGGTTGAATATTCCCTAGGAAGGGCAATCATCATAGAGGATGGTTGAGCCATAAGAAAGTTCGGACAAATTAGGAATCGATCTAGCTTGCTTAATTTCATCCCGTCATCGCACATGTAAGTATATCTTCTACCGCCCATATTGTATTCTGATATACCAGTACCATGTATTAAATTGTTAAAAGTCGACGTCGTGTAAAGGCAAAATTTGGAATTGAAACGCACGTCTGGCCTTCTTACCGAGTTGAAATCACCAAAGAATATCCAAGTGCTGGTCTGGAGAGAGTTTAAGGTTAAAAAGCTCCGTCCATAATTTTCTCTTTTCAACAAGTGCTTATGGAGCATAGACATTGACAAATATGGTCTCTCCTGGGATGTGTTTCCAATAGCCAACCGTGACTATAAAAAAACCTGGATTTAATTGAAACAACTTTTGAGAACTGATTACAATCCCATATGTTAAGCAGACCACCTGATCTACCTGTTGCTGCAACAAAATCAAATTCAAAGTCTTCATCACCCCCAACACCCTCTCATATCCAACTCAGAGATGTTAGAAACTTGTACTTCTTGTATTCTGCAAAAATTAAGATAAAATTCCTTCTTGAGCCTTCTAATCCATTCTAACTTATGCGTTTCACTCATCCACTTGATGTTTAATAACAAAATATTCACTGAGAAACTCTTACTTCACCATCTCCTTGTAGGGCCTGATCCAACCGTCATTACCCTCATCGATTTGGAACCCCAGTTGATTACCTGTCTTTATTGTTACCCATAAAAAATATTCTATTTTAGAGGATTTGTTTTCATACCAAGCAATTTTACAAATGTTAATTGCATATTATATATCTAGTTATACAGCAAATTAATTTTACAAAAATTTAATTATTACTAAATACTAGGAGACAATGTCTAGAATTAAGGATTAAAGCTAGTTAGTTCAATCAGTTATTTTAATAAAGCTCAAATTTTTTGAATTTTATGTTTATTAGGTCCGATGCAAATTCAGTATGATAATTATATGGATAATGTCCCAGCTTTACAGTTACATCCAAATTCTTGGACAAAGGTACATGTATTTGTGTGCTTGTTTCTAGTATATTGCTTTTGTTAAAATATTTTATTAAATTTATAATTTATATGTCGATCATCTTCATTAAAATCTCTTATACATGGTGTTTCAAAGGTAGCAAATGTAATATATTTGGATGCACCCACACAAACCGGATATTCATATACGAAAACTCCTGAAGCTATTCGTTCTAGTGATACATCATCAGCAGCACAGACTGCTGAATTTCTTAGGAAGGTTGGTGAAAATTTAAGTAGCTCAATTATATTTATATTAAGGAAGGATCTTATTGATGATTGCTTTCTTTGCAGTTTGTTAGGAATCATCCAAAATTTCTGAAAAACCCCATGTATGTTGCTGGAATTTCATATTCTGGAATCGTTGTTCCGATCATTACTGAAGAATTATATAAAGGTATGATGTTTAATTTTGTTAGTTCTTGATTTTGTGTAACACTAATTCAGTAATTCTTTATCAAGTTCATGAGCCATATATATTTTAAGAAGCAAAAACTAAATTGACGGAAATTCATATCTTTGATTTTCTTTGTTTTAAAGGCAATGACGAAGGATTAGAGCCTATTCTCAACATTAAAGTAAGTATATTGTGTGCAATATATAACTAATTAACCCAAATAAGTTTCTTGTACTCTATCTATAAAAATTTATAAGCATGAATTACGTGTCCATGAAAACCATAGGGATACATGGCAGGAAATCCATTGACAGATAAAAGCCTCGACATAAACTCTAGGTTCGAATATGCTTATCGTTTGGCATTAATATCCAAAGATTTATATGAGGTAACATATATATAGTTTCCATTATTTTTTATCATGGTTCCATGTGTTTCTTCCAAATAAAGTGCAGCAAAAAAAGCGATTTATTTTGTGCATTATTATAGTCAACAAGAAAGGCTTGCAATGGAGATTATGCCAATGCTGATTCTAACAATTTGCAATGCATGTCAAATATTTATGAGGTCAACAAAGTAAGAACAATTCATAGCTACTAAATTTATCCCCGTTATTTTGTTTCATGAGCTACACTTAGTCAATACTTTGTATTCTTTAATGTCAGCGTGTTAAGGGCATTTACACTCAACAAATTTTGGAACCTGATTGCGATCCAGCAACCAATTTGCTTACAATCATTATTCCAATAGTAAGGGGAAACAGAAGAGCTCTACAAGCCAATCCAATTAATGATTCCATATGCCAAGTACATATCTCTCTCACTTTCTCACCATTGTATTGTCCTAAGCTCTAGTATGAATATTTAAATTTATATAAAATCATCTTTTAACAGGGTTACTATCATGAGTATGCAATCCCTTGGGCCAATGACGAAAAGGTTAAGAAAGCCCTTAATATACGTAAGGTATGTTAATAAGTAATTAATAAAAATGTCATTACAATCGATTTAATGTGTGTATATATTAATTTCTTGTTTACTAATATATATAAGGTGATATTAATTAGGGAACAGTGAAGGAATGGACCCTATGTAATATGGACATGCAGTACAATTATGGTAAGCAATCAATGCCATCATATGAGTTTGACGTCCTTAGTAGTGTTGAATATCACAAAAAACTAAGCAAGAGAAACTGTCGAGCTTTGATTTTCAGGTATTAGAAGTTCCATACTCATGTATCGTATCCTTAATACCCATACTTATTACAACTTACCTTTTATTTTCTCTGAAACAGTGGAGATCATGACATGATGGTTTCACATGTGGGGACATATAATTGGATAAATTCTCTTAATTTGACAATCACATATAATAATTGGGACCCTTGGTATGTTAAAGGTCAACATGCAGGGTACAAAACTACTTATGCTCGTGATAACTATTCTTTGGCATTTGTCACCGTAAAGGTATGAGACATTAATTTTATATATACTTAGGGTAGATCAACTATATAAAATTAATATATCCCTTTTGGTATGTGCTTATACAGGGAGCAGGTCACACAGCCCCAGAGTTCAAGCCTAAAGAATGTTTTGTGATGGTTAAGAGATGGTTTGCTCATAAACCTATCTAAGCCAAAGGTTTACTTATGTTAAGAATTAGAATTGTCGTTTCCATGGCAAGGAGCTTATGTTTTGCAAGAGGACTTTTGTTGTAGTTAGGAATGATTGTCATATTGTTGTTTAAAGTGGTATATAAGGAGATAAATATTAGTGTACATGTATAATATTTTTGTATTATATTTAGTATAACTGCAAACTGCTTATGTAAGCCCGATAGTGGCCTAAACCTACTCTCGGCCATTTTTTCCTCATGGGTGAAACCCTATTCATCACTAGGGGTAAGTAAAATCTAAACGGATAGTGGCCTAAACATATACTCGGCCTTTTTTTCCTCACGGGTGAAACCCTATTCGTCACTAGGGGTGAGTAAAAGATACAAATGTGTGAAACGGAAGCATATAAACAAGTCACATAAACCCAAAAGCATATCCATGTTAAGCCGAGAAACAAAATAAATTAACCAAGAGAGATTATAGAAAACGTACATTCATAGCCTTTGATTTGTAATACCCTTGTCTAAGTATGTGATGCTTTTGTGTTGAATTTAATTAAGTCTAAGTTTTAGAGTTTCTGGCAAATGACGATGCGACTTTTGGATGTCGTGATGCAGACCGCGTCATTTCAATAGTGTCTCATTTGCAACCTCCTTCATTCAGATAGAAAACCCTAGATATCGGGCCTTGACCCCTATATATTGGGGCTAACATTTAGGGTTGTGTCTCATTTGCAGCCTCCTTCATTCCGATAGAAAACCCTATTCCCATGTGTGTGCTCTAGTGCATGTTCTTGGTGTTTGGATCTTTGGAGTGACTTTTAGAAGAAGAATGTACTGAGCTTGTTGGTTGAGAAGTTGTTTCTATATCAGATCTTGCACCTCCTACACCTCCTGCAGCTAGGAAAGGTATAAAGTACATACCTTTATTGCTTCTTTGTTGTTTTGAAGCCCTTCTATGGTCATTTGAGGAACGTTCTTGGAGTTTGAGTAACTCCATAACCATGGTCTAATTTCTAAGTGATTTCTAGACCTTTTGGTCTTATAAAGCTGTGAGTTTGATACTCTATTTCCAACCATGCATGAACTTTGGTCATTTTGGTCATTTAGAGAGTTAGGGTTTTAGATCTAGGAAAATTGGACTTAGGAAATGGATAAAGTTGAAAACTTTATCTATGTAAAGCTTTTAAAAGAATCATATCTGAGCTTTTATGCTTGGGACATTACAGACTAAGAGCTTAATGGATTAAGTTGTTTGGATGTACATAATGACGTGATTCTTGGGTGGATCGCGGCGCGAGCCACAATGAGCGATCGTCACTATTTCAGTGTTTTGTGGCTGTGACGCGACCAAGGAGCTGGTCGCGACGCTAGTGCCAGTTGATCGTTGACTTTAAACAATTGACCATTCACCTTTGACTTTGACCGTTGACGTTGACTTTTGACAAGTTTGACTTTTGGTCAAATTGCAGGTTTTGAGTTGTAGACTTTGACGGGTCCATTGGTTTTTAATATCTATGGCAAGATAAAAAAAAAAGTATGCCCCTGTGTTTGTGTTTATACCGTATGATAGACGATAGGTAAATATAAAAATATTAATAAGTACAAAAATATATTAAATTTTATAGTCAAACAAAATAATTAAACATAAACCTACAAAATCACCAAAAACTCATCATTCATGCATTTTCTAAAGAAAAAACATCTTTTATTTTACGATAATTAATAATTTGTAAAAGTTCACTTTCGATACTTACAATTGCTAAACCATTCTATCTTTCTTAAGTCATGATACTTCGGAGATACAGTTTCAAGAGCTTCGATTTTGACAGCTCAACCAATATTTTGCAATCATTTTAAGTCAATCAATCCCATTTTCATCAAATCTAACATTGAAAAATGTTGGCCATTTAGTAAAACTTACACCAATGGGTAGCATGTAAATATAAGATACAATCATCAAATAGATAAATCAATGTTGGTGCATCGTCAATGGAGGATATATTCTATAATAGATGGAATTACAGGGGTGATTTACATAATTAATCATTGAAAAGCAAACATTTCCATATCATGACATTTAAAATAAATCCACATAATACAAGCCATTTGAAAGGCTTAGATGCAAAAGATGAACAACACAACCTAATGACAAATTTACAGGGGTGATTTACATAATTTATCATTGAAAAGCAAACATTTCCATATCATGACATATAAAATAAATCCACATCATGACATTTCCATATCATGACATATAAAAGCAAACATTTCCATATCATGACATTTAAAATAAATCCACATAATACAAGCCATTTGAAAGGCTTAGATGCAAAAGATGAACAACACAACCTAATGACAAATTCTATTGAAATGAAAGAATGATATCAGTTTTCTTGGATACCTTTTATAAACAATTTTAAATCCCGTCCACTCATAAAAATTACAAAGCTTGAGGCAAAATGTAAGAATCATCCTAGTAATTTCTTGTATTACCTACATACAGTCTATGAACTTCAAAAAATAAGAATATCAAATGTTTCTCAAAAGAAGTTAGAAGTCAGTCAAATTAAAATGTAAAAAAATCATTTTTTCTAAAATATATAGACATTATACCACAAAAATTATACCAGAGATTTTGATATTTTTGAAATTCTAAAATGAGAGTCGAACTCCTCGGATGTCCACTGAACTTCAACCCACACAAGTCTTCAAAATCCAACTTAGGAATCAAATCAGAATAACACTAAGAGATGATATTACAATAATCAAAAGAGGAACACAACAATCAAAATATGGAACTAGTTTGCATACACACACACACATATATATATATATATATATATATATATATATATATATATATATATATATATAACATTTTGTCTGATATGATATGTTTATTGTGTTGGTTAAATATTTTAAAGATGAAAAGACCATAGTATCCAATCTAAGCCACATGCCACAACAAATCAATACAATTTTCGAAAGATGTTTGGTTGGGAGATGGAATTCTTATGGATAGGTTCCCGAGGCTTTATGCTTTGGAGGTTCAAAAGGAGTGCTTAGTTGTTGATAAATTGAGAGACGGTATTTGGATATAAGTTGGTTCAAAGAAATTACAAGTAGTGGTACTATAGTTGAGCAGTTCTCGGTTTTAAGGGGGATTCTTAGTCAAGTTTAAATCAGTGATCGGTCGGATACTTGGGAGTGGAAGTTAGACCCGAATGGTTCTTTCTCAGTTTGTGGTACTATGTGTTATATATATATATATATATATATATATATATATATATATATATATATATATATATATATATATATATATATATATATATATATATATATTTGAACGGTTGAGTTTTATGAAGAAACACTAGCAAGAAGCTAGAAAATTACAAAGATAAAGTTAGGAAAGGGTTTGACAACCAGTGAACCCATCTAGCGGAAATATTAGAGTTTCTAAAAATAACCCAATTAAAAGAGATATCAATTAAGTTATCAAAAATCATATCCCTTTTTGGAATATCTTCACAAAAAATCAAGTCATTCTAAAATCTCCATATTAACCAAAGCCCCACAACAATAATAACTTCCAAAGTGTAGGAAAAATATAGGGTTTGTGGTGGAGATCTGGATACCAACTTGGATCGTGAGAACATTTTCCGAACTGATATTTCTACCCTATGTCTGGGTTGCAAGAAATTCAGCCTATGATAATCCAAGTGGACACTTACGATTCTAGGCACAGAAATCGTAAGCCAATTTGCTAGAGATTCTGTGAGAGTTTCATGAAAACGAGAGCTAATGATCGTAACCTTCTTCTGATAAGGAAGAACTGTTTATATATTAAACGAGATTAGGGTTTCATTAGGGTTGGGCCGTCATTAGTTGCTTTGGAAGCAAGTCAGGAAAATTCGGATCTAATGAGGATTTAGGGTTACCAAAACTAAAGATTTTTGTTAGTTTACCATAATCACCCTCAAGAAATTGAATTTTCCACTATGTTCCGGATCTAGCGGGACCCCAGCCAGGGGCTCTGCCCCTTGGACCCCGCTAGAGGTGCTGCCCCTAGACCCCGCCAAAAGGCGCTGCCCCTTTGGAAACCCCGGACCCAGGGGCGCTGCCCCCGGACCCCCGACTAGTCGTCGAACCGGCTTCTAATTCGATCTTATACATGTGTGCACTCCGCACCAACCTGTACATATATTAGAGTACAAATTAAGAAGCCCCTTAGGTCACATGTTAGTTCCAGTTACATAAAATGACATGGTGACACTAAAATCACCAACACAAAGCCATATTGATAACTTTATACTTCAAGAATGGGTTATCAATACCAGGGGCAGAGCTTCAACATATGATTTGGGGGGGGGGGGGGGCGAAAATATAATATGTATAAAAATTGGTGAGCAGGGGGGCCACCGCCAAAATTTTATATTTTTTGGTCTAATATGTATAAAATGAAAGTATAGGGGGCTATTTGTAACAAAAAAAATCAGGGTGGAGGGGGGCATAGCCCCCCCTTTGCCCTAATAAAGCTCCGCCCATGATCGTTACTAGATGGTGCAATCTAGTTCGAATAAAGGTAAATGTTTTTATTTGGCGAACTCTTTTGAATAGACTTCCTACTAGAGTAAACCTGGTAGATAAAGGTATTGATGTGCCTTCCGTGTTTTGTCCCTCGTGTTCCTTGCATGTGGAAGAGTATAATCATGTTTTTGTTAGTGTGATGTAGCTGTAAAATATGGGAGAAGGTCATTAAATGGCTCGATCTTCCGTTCCCTCTTTTCTCTAATATTAAAGAGATTTTCTCATGGGTATTTTCTATTTCTTTAGGAAGAAATAAAAAGAAAGCTTTGGAGACCATAGTTTTGACCACGATATGGATGATTTGGCAATATAGGAACAATATTGTCTTCTAGACACCGTGCATTATGAGGAGCAATATTTTTGAAAGCATCGTAATTCATTCTTTTGATTGGTTTACAAATAGACTTAGTAGAAGTAACATCGTAATTCATTCTTTTGATTGGTTACAAAACCCAATGATCCACGACTTTTTGTAATTTTTCCTTGCTAGCTTCCTGCTAGCCGGTTTTTATAAATTTTCTTAGCTGTTCAAAAAAATATACGATTTTCGAATTTTGAAAACTCTAAGTGGGAAAAAAATATATTAGCAAGATTTTCCTATTTTGAAAACTCAAAAGGTAAACAACACGCCGAACATACATTTTTGTGATTGTTTTTGTTTACAATAATTATTTGCAATTAGCCTTTTAAAGGATATGTAATATAATCTATAAAATTTAAAGGTGTTTAAATTGAATGATTACCAACAAGAGTTATAAATTGGAACAACTTATCAAACCGCAAAAAATGCAAGTAAACCGTGCAAACTGCCTGCAGGAAACAGCACTGCATAATGTTGTTTAGAGCTTTCACGGTACGGTTTGCAGTTTCTAAAAAACTCTAACCGCATATGTGGTGTGTTTTGTGGTTTTGGCTCTAAATTGCACTGCACCGCACCACACACACCCCTAGAACCCATATAATTCTTAACGAGTCGATCTCGAGCTCTATACCATTAAGCTTGAAATGAGTCGAGCTCGAGCTTGAGCCCAAAACATGTAAACATGCTCAGGCTTAGTAAAATGGCTTTATTAAGATCTTCATACAATATGAATTCATAAATTGGTATTTTAATTCATTGGACAAAGGGAAATTTGATTATAATAATCGACAAACACATGAAATTGTTTTTGTTCTTAGATGGTTTAAATGGTTTATTTAAAATCAATAAATTTTTGGATGCTCGGTATTGTAACCGTTCGAAATTTCGGCTACATATTCTTGTATCAATAACCCACTATGCGAATTTTCAGACTATTTTGAATATCCCTAGTTAAGGTGGTGGTGGCGATATCAAGAAGAGTGGACCATACTAAATATGACACTAACAGGAGAAATATCAAAACATATTTGCTCACAATGTATAAAATTGTACTCCCTCCGTCCCAAAATTATAATTCATCTTTCATTTTCGGTTTGTATCAAAATAATAGTCCACTTCTAAAAATAAATAACATTTTTACCAAAATACCCCTCATTATTACTTAACCAACTAAGCATTTAATGGAACATTAAATGTAAAGTATGGACAAAACTATTATTTTATTATATAAAGTTAGTGGTAATTAATGTTTGTTTTTTTATCTGTGGACAATAATTTTGGGACGGAGGGAGTATGAAATATACAATGCATTCTATTAACACTATTATAAGAGTTAGTTGTGACGTTATAAAAATTGGAATATATTACTTTTAACCGGTTAAAAAGTTAAAAGAATTTATATATTTGTAAGTCTTAACAAACAATAAAAAAAATATGGTCTTAATTGCAAAAAAAATGAAATTCATATAGGGATGTTGTGGTGTGTCCTTTTGTGTCGGTGTCATTCTTTTGGTTATTTTGGTTATGGATTAGATTTATCATGAGATTGAGGAGGGGTGTTACAGTGTATGGTTTTTTTTGCCAATGGCATTGTTTTAGTGGCATAAACTATCACTAAGTTCAATGTTAGATTAGATACATGTTGGAAAACAAAGAGTCACAAATCAACACATTTAAGAGCAAATATATATGGGGTTAGTTCAGCGAAGATCATGATCAAGAAGTAGAAGTATATGTTGTGTAATTTGTAAATGATACACCCAAAAGTAGTTTTTTCAAGTTTTTGGCATCTATGGTCCATAAGATGATATGTTGAGGATGACATTACGGTCCACATAAAGACATGTTTTAAATTGAAAGGTTAGCCACATTGAATTTGTAGTACAAGAAGGTATCTTTAAAACTGAAAGAAAAATTCAATATAGTCTTTTTTTACTGGTTAGGCAGGTAGGACGATGGTGGAGATGAAGAAGTTGGCTCTTAGCAACGACATGAAATCAAATAGAAGGTTGTAGAGACTGAGATTTAGCGTGTAATCGAGTCAAACCGACTTGATACGTGAGACCAACTCGAGAAATACTCCAAATACACCCAGTTCAAGTCAATTCGAACTCGAGTATATTATCAAATTGAGCTTGAGTATTAGAATACTCGTCAGGTGAAGCTCGCGAGCTTACTCGAGATTAGTTATATTTACCTTTTTACTCTTTATTTTATTCATATTTTACATAATTGAACCGAGTCAACTCAAGCTCGCGAGCTTAATCGTATTTATATTACAATTTAATGTAATTTTATTTTTTTAATAACTAATGGAGTCGAGTCGAGCTAGCTCGTAAGTTTCGCGGCTTGAGCCGAGATTGGAAATTAAGACTCAAGTCGAGCTCAAGTTTTTTAGTCGATTTGAGTTTCAAGTTTAGCAGTACTCAACTTGATTACACCGTTAAGTGGGATAGTACAGGAGTAGTCTAGGTCTGAGTTTCCTTTTCACAGTTTTTGCTTTCTATACAATTTTTCATGTTTACTGTTGCATCATCTTTACTTTCACTTGTATGGTATCGATAGTATCTATTTTTGTTCTCTAATCACAAAACATGTTCATACTTTATTTATTGCATGCAGTCTCTCTATCCTTGAATAACCTATTTGATTGTCTCGATCTTTATCTTTTTTTGCCTTATATACGGCTTTAGGATGTGATCTGATTGTTATGATCTTATCTTTCTTTGCCTTATTCGTATACGGCTTTGTGGTTGAAATTGTTATTTGGTTTATAGGAAGATCACTTGATAAGTTACAGGCCCATATTAAAGTGGCCAGTAATTTAAACTTGAAAGGCCCAAAAAAAGCATATTCCCTAAGCAAATCTGACCTCGAGACCCCCAACATCGCCATCAGTAATCGGCTTATTTTCCGAATAGCGATAAACATGTGCCCGAGTTACATTAACTCTGTACCTACAGACCACTACCATCCAAGACTTTGAACACGGCAACACTAAAACGCCAACCTCCATCACTCAGGTTACTCTTTGATCCTTCTAATCAGAAGGGTTTGCTCCCAAATCTCTTTTCATCAATCTTTGCCTTTTGAATTTTCATATTTTTAATTGCAATATGATGTTGTTGAATCTCCTTCCTTCGTCATATGTCACTTTCCCAAAATCACACCATAAATACTCCATTAATAATCCTTCGTTTTCTCACCCTAATCTTGTCTCCAGAATCTCCATTCCTCCTCAATCGAAGTTCAAAGTCTCGGCCTTTAACAAAATCCACAGCAACCCCACTTCTCAGATCTATGAAGCTACCAAGTTCCTTAAAACCCCTTGTCGATTTGGGGATTTTGGAAGAAAACCCACTTCACAGATCGCTAAATCAGCATCTGGAACTTCTCAAGATTCAACCCCGGATGAAGAACTTGAAAAAAAGCCTAACAAGACTCTCCAGCTTGGGATTGTATTCGGATTTTGGTACTTTCAGAACATTGTTTTCAATATTTACAATAAGAAATGCTTGAACATTTTCCCATATCCATGGCTTCTTGCTTCCTTTCAACTCTTTGTTGGTTCTCTATGGATGTTGTTTCTTTGGGCTTCAAAGCTTCAACCTTGCCCCAAAATCGACAAATCATTTATCATCGCTCTTCTAGGCCCTGCACTTTTCCACACAATCGGTCACATTTCTGCATGTGTTTCATTCTCTAAAGTCGCTGTTTCTTTCACTCATGTCATCAAATCAGCAGAACCCGTTTTCTCTGTTGTTTTTTCCTCTGCTTTAGGCGATACTTACCCGTTATCCGTTTGGTTATCGATCTTACCAATCGTTATGGGTTGTTCTTTAGCTGCTGTTACAGAAGTTTCCTTCAATCTTGGTGGATTATGGGGTGCTATGATTAGTAATGTTGGATTCGTGCTTAGAAACATTTACTCCAAAAAGAGTTTGCAGAACTTCAAGCATGTAAATGGGTTGAATCTATATGGGTGGATTACAATCCTCTCATTCTTTTACCTGTTTCCAGTTGCGATTTTTGTTGAAGGATCTCAATGGGTTCCTGGATACCATAAAGCAATTGCAAGTATTGGAACACCATCGACTTTTTATCTATGGGTGATGATATCTGGAGTGTTTTATCATCTTTATAACCAATCATCGTATCAAGCACTTGATGATATAAGTCCGTTGACTTTTTCAGTTGGGAATACAATGAAAAGGGTTGTGGTGATTGTTTCTACTGTATTGGTTTTTAGAAATCCAGTTAGGCCTTTGAATGCACTTGGATCTGCCATTGCTATTTTTGGTACGTTTTTGTATTCACAAGCGTCATCAAAGAAGAAGGCTGTGGTGGAAAAGAAGGATTAAGGAAAGCTTCTTCATTTGGTTCATTTCTTGTCTTACTTTTAGTGGAAGTTTTGGCTTTTGAATGTAGTTTTAGAAGCTAGTGGTTATTCGGTTGCTTTGTGGTTTCTTTATTGAAGTAGGGTTTTAGACTTTTTGTTCTTGTTGTGGCTCTCTTAGACTTTGGTATCATACCCCTCAATGAGTAAATTGAATCGACAATCTTTCGCTTTTTTCAAGCTAGTTTTTAACAGTTCTTTTTTGCTTTTATATATGTTGAATAATCAGAAGTTATTTGCAAGTTCTTGACAAAAGTAGCATCCATTTTGTGATTTACTTTCTCATGTGAATAGTTGGTCTTGGATAGGTTAGTTGGAGCGCATAGGGATGACTTCTACTCGAGGTGATCTATTTGGTGTTTCTGAGCATATTCGGCTCAAATTGCTCTTGTGATGAATAATTTATGTTTCTACATGATCCATATCTCTAGATGTGCAACTCCAAGTGTGTAGTATGCATGCATACTATCATATAAGGACAATACATGCACTCACGTCTTAAGATTAAGATGTGAGAATCTATGAGGTCATTACCTTTCTTGTTTTGAGACATATGCAAACATAAATGTTACATATATGTGTTTGTAAGAATAAATACATCCATGTGTATAATTGAACAATAATCAAGCTGAGGGAATATTGTTTTGGGCATTATAATAATTTCCAAAACAATCTCATTTTAGGCATTTTGCAGGTTGCACTTGCGAAACTAGTTATTTAGAATTTTTTTTGGGTAAAACTTAACAAATGTAGGTTTTCTTTAGAATAGACACCACTAGAGCTGTAAATGAATTGTTCGGTGAATTATTTGTGAACCGTTCGGCGGAAAATTCTTTTATGTTTATTTATTTAATAAATGAATGAACATGAATACAAAATCTTGTTCGTTTTTGTTAAACGAACAAAAATGAACAATGGTCTCGTTCATTAAATTATTTTCGTAAACGTTTGTTTTTGTTCGTTTATTTGTTCGGCTAACTTAAACGAATCAACATGAATAAGCCTTTGGTCGTGTTCATTCGGTTCTAGATAACGTACTAACCCATGTACTTATACTTTTAATTCTACAACTTTTCTCCATGCTAAACCAATGGTAACAAAATTAAGTATATTTTTCATTTCTTGTTTTAAAAACTATCTTAATTAAGGTTCATTAATTTTTTTTAAACAGTTATATATATATATATATATATATATATATATATATATATATATATATATATATATTAGAATTCATGATCTTTTTATTCTCTACAAGTAGGTATTAATATTGAAAAAAAAAATACTAAAAACATGATTTTATATTATAGTTATTTGATTAATATAACTGTCACGTTTTATTATAGTTCAGAAATTTTAAATTAAATAGTACCAATTTATTATACAAATTTAAGTTTGTAGATATATTATTCATATGTAAATGTAATTATCAAGTTTTTATTGCTCGTTCTATTATTGATTATAGCATGCTTCCTATTAATGGTATGAAGAACTGGTTGACGATTAGATTGGAAAGTATTCCCTCTAGGGAGAGACTATCCTACCATGGGACAGAGCTCCATACGATTATGTGCCCAGTTTGTCATGTTGTTGTGGAGACTATTGATCATCTTTTCACAGGTTGAATGGAGTTGATAGTATACTCCCCAATCAGTATACTATTACCGATTTCATCTCTTAGTCCGATTCTATTCTCATGAAAGGTAGTCAACGGAACGAAAGGCTTTTGATGTGGTAATGTTATTGACTTTTGGTGCCTTTGGAATTTCCGAAATTCCATTGTTTCTGGAACAACTTTTCCTAGGAAATCCCTGATTTTATATGAGATTGTTGAGTTTTTTTGTTTTTTTTTGTATTTTTTTTTGTATTTTTTTTTTGTATTTCCAATTGATATAGTAAAACTAAACTTGTTTGGACTACTTGGCTCCATAATCCTACTTTAGCTTCTATTGTGTTGTACTAGTTTTTTTTCTAGCTCCTTATTAGTTTTTTAATAAAATATTCTGCCGTTCAAAAAAAAAAGTTTGTATATTATTCATACGTGAATATATTAATTTAAACCGTTAAAAATAAAACTTATAATTTAATTGTTCAAGGCATGATTTATGTCATTTGTGTTATTATCAAGTTTGTTTATGTATTATTAATATGTGAATGTAATTCGTTCAAAAGAAAACTTAAATGTAATTTTTCATGATAATAACATGTGTTATAGTGTTATTCGAATGTCGATATAACTAACATTTGAATCAATTTCAACACAACCATTTTTATAGGTTGACTCTTTATTTATAAATAAATATAGATTCAAAGCAAAAAATATTATTATTTATTGATATGTGAATGTAGTTATTACATTGGACTGTTAAGTAAAACTTAGAACTTTAGTATTTTATATTAAAACCTGTTAATAAAGATAAAAAAGTTATTAATTTTAATATATTTTGTTATTTAAATGTCATATATATATATATATATAATATATATATATATATATATATATATATATATATATATATACTAGAGAGGTGTAATGGCCGTGCTAAGCACGGCCGCTCACGAAGATTTCTTTAAAAATTTTGATTCTTATAACATGGTTGTTGTCGGTGATTCATGTCACTTTTCAAGATCAAATTCCTTCCCACGCTACACTCGTTAAATCGAATTGTTGATAAACATGCAACTTGCCAACTGTTCCCTTTCACTCCGTCACCTGGAAGGAAAAGGGCATTATGGTCCTTTTAGAGTTTAGTTCATTTTAGTATTTAAATATTTAAATTTTGAAGTAACCACACCTGATAATTTACTTGCATCAAGATCCTGATAAAACTTGCTTTGGCAATTCTCTTAAGAAACGACCTGAGATCAATTAAACATGCTTTGTTAAACCAAAATCCACAACCTAAAAGTAAGCATATAGTCGATAAATGAAAACCATCTTCCACTCCTTGCACTCTCATTACTAACTTGCATCGAAGTTCTAGATGTTTTTTAATAAAGTTTATTACTTGGTTTTCATCGCTTCCTTTTCTTAAAAAAGTAGACCAAACACATCCCCAACTTGCATCTTGTGAAGAATAAAAACAATAGAATATCTTTGAACATTATTCCTTTAAAATTGATATTTGTCATGAATTGAAGCATGGGTGGTTGATCTAATGTAATAAATCCTATACAAAATCACCCACAAATCTTTTTAAAACGAACTACCTGGCATCGGAAATAAAAGGAGTAAATTGGGCACCCATAACTATTGAGCCCATCGTTGTAAATGGCCCTTTCAAATAGAATCTTAAATCAAGTTGGATCAGAGCATGTTCTTTAATCTTCAACATTGTTATGTGGTATCATTTTCTTCAGGTCTATCCCAAGAAGCATGATCTTTGTTTACAGAGCCAACCTTCATTATAGACAAAATTTCAGTCAAAACCATGGAAGATAGACAGAGATCGTGTAAATGATGTAATGCATCGTCTTTATACAGATTTACCTGAACATAAATGATGACCGCCTGAAGCATATCTTTCAGAAGATAATCAGTCGCCCAATGGATGGTTGTTTTTGCATTTCCTAGATCTTTTTTGTGAACCCATCAGTTTCAAGCATCCCCGTGACAACTTTGTGGTGGTGAATGCCATAGGAAACCTGCATGTGATACTACATAAGTAAATCAAACTGAAATAGTGTCCAACATACATAAATCATCTACCATAGAGTGTTGTACGTCAAAGATAATACTTAATAAGTCAGGAGTTGGCAGCAGCCTTGGATTTGTTCGTACTATTTTCAAACTAAACTTTGGCAAAATCAGAAATAGATCTTCAATCTCCTTTGGTTATGTATGAACTACCAAGATTTCTAGTTTTGTTTTTGGACTTGCTGTTAAGTAATATAACAGCAAACACATCAGGTAGTGTGTATATATATATATATATATATATATATATATATATTATATATATATATATATATATATATATATATTACTTGGACCTATTTTATTAGAAATTAACCCTCACTTGAGAGAGCTGAAAGACACTAATCATCCAAATTTGGGGTACTATTTCATTATAAGCCATACAATTACGAGGTATTTTCAAAACTTACCAAATAATGCATCACCACTTCTCCAGACTCTTTTGTTCTACAACATCTGTAAAGCCTTGGATATGCTGATGTCACACCCCAAAACCGGAACGGCGGAAACGTTCGGGGGTGGAGGACGTTATGTACAGTATCACAACAATGCATAGTAGTAAACAAGCAAAAACATAATCCATTGCATTAATAATATAATTTTATACAAGTGTGTTCTGTAAAGTTTATAAGACACCAAAAATGTAAATCAAAATATGAGATGAGTCTTGAACGAGCTCCATCTTCTCAAAAGCCTGGCATCGGTACCTGTCTACTGATGACCTGAGAATACAAGTTATTTTGAAAGAGTTGATCAGCTTCAAAGCTGGTGAGTTCATAAGTATTTTAGTGTCTTTGTTTGTATGAAAGTGTTTGTATGTACTTGATGTAATGTTTGTAAATGTTTGTATCTCCTAGAAAATCCTATATTTTCTACTAAACGTAGCCTTCTACCAAGGCATCAAATGTAATGTATGTTTGTTTCTTGTAAAAGTGTGTATTTTCCCAAGTATGACTATCATTAACCAAAAATATAGCTTTTACATTACCGTTCATTGTGTGAAGATCACAAAGTGAATGCAATGGGGAAATAATAAAGTACTGTAGTGTTGTATTAAGTAACTACTGTTGTACTAATTACCTTAAACAGATTTTTATTTAAAGTAACATGTGATATGCCTGTACCATACTACCGACTAAAAACACGACGATGAAAGACGTCGGAAGAAATGACATTTGGCACCCGTAGACTTGCAAGTCCCACTACGTAGCGAGCAGCAAGGTGAAGGATAGTCAATCCAGTATAGATCTATACACAAATTCAACGCT